GCATATCATATAGTCTACCTCACGGCAACAATTACTGTTGGTTAGCATGTCATATAGCCTGCCCCACGACAACAATTACTGTTGGTTAGCATGTCATATAGCCTGCCTCACGACAACAATTACTGTTGGTTAGCATGTCATATAGTCTACTTCACGACAACAATTATTGTTGGTTAGCATGTCATATAGCCTGCTTCATGACAACAATTAATGTTGGTTAGCATGTTATATAGTCTACTTCATGCACATAAAGTTTCTTTTTATCAATCAAGTAACGTCATAAAATGTTTGAGAAGAAGCCCGCTTATTTTTAAGCAATGAAAAAAAAAGTTTATTATTGTTGAGATTTGTCATCAACACAACGAACATTTTTTGGCCCTATACTTACTCAGGGTCCAGCATGGCCAGGTGGTTAGGGAGATCGACTCGCAATCTGAAAGTCACGGGTTAGAATCTCCATCCCATCAAACATAATTGCCCTTTCAGCTGTGGGGGCGTTATAATGACGCAGTCAATCCCACTATCCGTTGTTAAAGAGTAGCCCAAGAGTTGGTGATGACTAGCTGCCTTCTCTCTAGTCTTTCACTGCTAAATTAGGAACGGCTAGTGCAAATAGCTCTCGATTAGCTTTGCACGAAATTCAAACAAACTAATCTTTTAAACTAATACACAACTTTAGTGATTGCCTACTAGCAAATTGAAGTCTCGTTTAGTGCCCTTTAAAGCGTTTTATTATTTAATAATAAAGTCCGTGAATTGATAATAATGCCAACGTTACGGGGTGCCCTACGTAAATAGGTACATTTTTTACCTATGTAGGGAGTCCTCCAATCATATCGCGATATATGGCAAATAACCTTGCAGCATAATTCCTATTTCGAAAGGTTCCATTAAAAGACTCATGTCAAAACCTCACATCCCATCCATACATTTTTTTCATAAGCTATATAGTGTACAAGGATGACAGTGCCTGTTTCAACAGTCTCATCAAACAGAAATCCATAGGCACTGCATCTGGGGACTTGACCAATATGTCTTCATAAGGAACAGCATTCTCCAGCTGCTTGAGGTATGTGACAGTTGAACAGGAAGTACAACTGGAAGCTTCATGTTGGTGAATCCATACCCTGCTTGCTTTGTTTTAGATGGAGATCCTGCATGGTTATGTTAGTTATTATTTCCTGAGATAAATGGATGGTTTTTGCTACTGACCTTTATGTTTGTAAATTCTCTCCAGTTACAAGAAACTGCACTTTGCTTATCATATGACCTGTTGCAGTCACTTTCTGGAGGGTCCTGGTTTCCCATGCTGATCCATTATTCTTTCTTTTCCAATGCCACTAAGTACAAGGGATATCCATGTCTTGGAAATTCTACATCCCCAATGTGTAGATATCTTTATTATATGAATGTTTGAATATTTTGAATTGAAAAAATCTGTTACATACCCTTCCCAAAAGCAATCAATTTTTGATAATGTCACATTACATATGTAATGCAAAAAAACTAAAATGTAGTTCTGATACATTTAATTCCATTGTAATTTTATATTGCCTGTTGTTGTTACAGACAGACTTGCTGATATGAATTTTCAAAACAGTATTAATATAATGTATTCAACACTGTACAAGCAAAACTTAATACCTAAAGAGGGAGAATGCACTGAAATAAACACTACCTCAGTATTTCTCAATTCACTTCTGAATCATACATATCTCATTCAACCTATGCACTTGGGATTACCACAAATCCTTGTTCTTATGTTGTTGTCGATTCAATAATATCCAATCAAAATGATCGATAATTACATGTCTCAGTATTTATATTTGAAAATGGTGAGTTTGTATGTCATAACTTTTATTATATTATCTTTTGTTTTAGGCTTGCACAGTATTTTTTTTTGTGATAGAAATACTATTTGCTTAAAATTTTATGTTTTTATGTAAACAGTATATGTTCATTATTTACTAATAAATCTGCCTTAGTTTCTATACAATTTTTTTTCTGGAGTTACCTCAAAATTATTATTACCTGATGTAGAAGAGAATACATTCTACTAAGGTTCTTTAAATTATGTTTGTTCCCAAAAAGAATCATTAATACTTCTTAACAATGAAGACAGAAAAAATTGCACATAAAGAGCACATTTGTTTATTTCTCCCAGAGAATTAGTCAAATGTTAAAATCAAAACATTTAACCCAGAGTTTAAACACATGGTGTCGAAACATTGTAAAATCATAAATCAATTATACCAAAAAAATGCAAGTTTTTGATGTGATTCCAATAAAAATTTGCTGATCTCATAATTATATTAAAGTCATCATCAAAGAATCAATTTATTGTTTTAATCCTAAATCTTAAACAGATGTTACATAATATTACTTTCAGCTGTTCTGTCTATTGTAATGAGTGTTAAGATCATTGACGACTGGTTAAATATGTCTTAATGGCATCTGCATCTCTCGATAACCACTTTTCATTAAGACGGATTGTTTCCAGTGATTGCTGTATGGTTCTCTCTGTTCCAGGAAACGGGTTCTTAGAAAAAAATTCCTGTTAAAGAAAAAAAGGACAGTCATAACATGTGATACAAAAGATATGATGAAATTCATAGATTATATATTTTATGAATTCCATCATAAATTCATATTATGTATTATAAGAAATAAAAACTCCTACAAGTTTTTGATATTTATAATTATAGATGAAGTAAAATCAAACTGCAAAAGGTAAACTCTTATAACAATTTACTTACTGGAAAAAACAACAAATGCTTTGATATGAAGATTGGCATTGAAATTGCAAAATAAATAAAACACTATGTAACAAATGTGAGTTGTATGGTATTTAGGGCATGAGATCATACTAGATAATAATACAAGTTAACTTGAAAAGCTGCAGTAAATGTTCAAGCAGTTTATTATATTGTCCAAATATGTAGTTTTTTCAGTAATTAGCGAGTACAACCATATTCAATTACTAAATAAATATGCAGGTTTTCCCAGTAATCAGTGAGTACAACCATATCCAATTACTAAATAAATATGTAGATTTTCCCAGTAATAAGTGAGTACAACCATATCCAATTACTACATAAATATGTAGATTTTCCCAGTAATAAGTGAATACAACCATATCCAATTACTACATAAATATGTAGATTTTCCCAGTAATAAGTGAATACAACCATATCCAATTACTAAATAAATATGTAGATTTTCCCAGTAATCAGTGAGTACAGCCATATTCAATTATTAAATAAATATGTAGATTTTCCCAGTAATAAGTGAGTACAACCATATCCAATTACTAAATAAATATCTTGTATAACAAGCAATCATAAGTAATCAAAAACTTCTGTTAACTGTTGTACAGATAAAACTTGTACAACTCATCCAAGCTGTGAATGTGATTAGAATGTGAACATTCATGAAACTTAATAACATAACTTTCTTTAATAAAAATCAACATTATACAGTTAACTTGAATTGACAACTCATCAAGATTAAATTAAAAGAAAGGGATAGTTTAACAGTCTTTTTTTAAAAAATGGAATAAGTATTATGGTATTGTTTCTGTAGCAAAAACCAGCATTGTTAATTAACTGGAATTGAGGTATTAATGAGCTGAAATTTACACAAAAAGGAGTTAAAGCATCAGGTATTGTTGCTTCAATGTTTCGTGAGGTTCCATTTCATTACCATATCCCAGTGCAGAGGATATGCTAATGATATTGCTAGAAAAAAAAAGAAAAAAAGAGAGGGATGGATGCATATTATATCAAAAATCACCTACAACTGTTTAAACCTACCCAACAGTTGTCAAATAAATCTGGTGAAACTATGTCATACACCATGTATGTTTCAATGTAAGTCACCCTTAATGTTATTAAAACAAATACATGTTTAAAGCAAGAGCTATACAAAAATGTTTTAGTTTGAGATACAAAAATTATGCTGGTATAACTTCAACCATCACCAGTTACACAGTCCTTTTGTTACGGAGGTTAAATTTTTATCTTAAATTTTCTGCATATCTTCTTCACACAACTAAACTGTTTCAATTTCATAGTCTTGAACAGCATGTTTAAATTTATTGTAATAACAGTAGTAGTTTGTTTGTTTGCATAAATTACTACTCACCCCAATTTCTTGAGCCTTCTCCTCTGTAGCAAAGTTTTCTGTAACATACTTAAAAAATAGTGGAAGAGTATATAGTTGCCACTCAATTTCAACTTTTGATAAAAGTAGTTGGAAAGAAAACATAAAACACAAAAAACAAACAGTGTACTAGTACCATTAGTATAAAAATATTAGTCTTAAATTTCATCATCAGAAAAACAAAAGGATCAAGGATAAATGGTATATTTTTCATTTTTCACTTATATTCTTAATTTATTATTATAAAAGTAATTAAAATGTATAAATTAAAAACATTATTTTTTTACACTGAAAACAGATTTCTGATACCAAAATTACCTATTCTCAAACAATAGTTTTCTCAATCTTTCTCTTTTCTATAATGCATTGAAAAGAAATTTTCTCACTTGACGAGTCAGCCTTTATACCCCACAAGTTCAAGCTGCTCATTTAGCATGTGCTGAGCATGTGACAACCCTCCATCAATGGGAACATGACACACTTTCCTAGAGCAGCTGCATCCCTCTATAGTACTTTACGTGAACCTCATTTTTTGAGATTAGGTCCACAAGAAACAGAACACCAGAAGTGGGTAGGAAAGGTGGGAAGTGTGTGAGTTGAGGTAAGTATCTATCAGAAATCTATTTTCGGTGTAAGAAAATGATAACTTCTGATACGGTACATATCTCCCCTCAAACAATAGCTAGAATCCCACACTGAGTAGTTGAAGGGACCAGTGTAATAGAAAACAAGAGATCCCTCTACAGAAAATTGATAAGATGTGCTCTGTAATTGAGTGGAAGCACACATATAGGGGACCACACCACTTCTGGAACAGGTATGCTCTTTGCCCTCAAAAAACTGTTCCATCATGAAATGAGTGGCATTGAGACCTCAAACTAGTAAAAGAAAGACTTCAGAAAACAATGTATCAGGTGTAAATACACAACGTGAGTTTCACTCCATCCTCAACTGTATAAATGTGACCAGAAACAAACCAACTTCGATAGGAGAAGAATCAGAAGTAGTATAAAGAAAAAATGTACACTGATAGGTAACTCCAAACCCACATGGAAAAAATAGAAAACTAATGGCCATTTCTCAGAATAATGAAGAAGTAGGTATTCATCTAGACACTGTTAGGTATTTACTCAACCTAAACTGTACAGATGAGGTTCCACATCTCTTCCTCAGAATTACAAGGCAGAGGACCTCACGTAAGATCAAACCAGTATATACAGAGTATGGTGGGCAGGGCAAGTGGAATATATATACACCAACCCCTTCCATAAGTAAACATAGTGCTATACTGCAAGCAAATGGAATTAAGATGAAGAATCAAGCAAATGACATATGCTGGACAAACTACCAAATCAACTGGAGGAAGCAGGAAGTAAAACAAACTGTATCTGGACTTGTGGGGCTGTGTCTAAGCCTCAACTCAACAGTAAGAACAGGAAATCATCCTGTACCCAGTATTACAAGTAGGATGTGGAATGTCTGTTCAATCACAGGAACAGGACATAGTACATTCCACAACCGGTATTACGAGGCTGACAAAGTCCCTCAAGCTCAACCGTAGCAGCAGAGAAATGAAACATTCGGCAACCAGAATTACCCAAAAAGGGGGCATCTACTGGTCTCAACCATAGAAACAGGGTGATATCTACCTGAACCTGATACTACAAGGAGGATCCAGTATTGGCTGGTCCAGTTCCAACCAACATCAGCATACTTGGATTAAGCCTGGAATTATTAGGTAAGATAATGACGACAGTAAAAATTCTTCGAGATGTGCTCGAACGCAGCCTGTGCATTATGTCATTCAATATGGTTAATGTGAGCTACACATTTGTCAAGTGATTTACAATTTGAGCAACAGAATTGTTAGTTAGAAACAGATCAAAGGGCAATAAAACAATAAAATTAAGTATAAACAGATGTATACTGGTATGAGCTTTAAGTTATTTAAGATAAACAATGTTAGTTTCCTGTTACAATTTGCAGTGATTATAGAAGAAAAAAAGAGTAATTTAGGTATTTTTTATGGTAGTTACAAGGGTCAAATTGACTGAACATGTATATTATTAGGGTAGAGAAATAATATACAAAACATAAAGTCCTACTGAAAAAAAAACTCACTATTTAGGAGGTTTTTGAGACTATGCAAATGAAATGTGACACTTTTCAGATGATGAATGGTACTTTTAATATTAAAATGAAAATCACTTTGTATTCAGAGCAGTTAACACTCTGATTCAATATGTTCATGGATAAATCTTTAATAAAAATACCTAATTAAAAAATCTGATTTTTTGTGTACAAAAGAACTGTAACATTTACTTAAAGCTTACCAAATTTTGTAAAGATACACAAAACATATTAAAAGTTATAGTACAGAAATTCTGATGACCACCCTGGGGTCACAAGGTCGGTAGACTATACTGACCCTATAGTGAGAAGGTTAACTGTATATAGGAAAATCCTCAACCACCTTGAAAGTGAGCCAGTATTTTATTTGACATAGTTAATAAGTTTTACTCACATTTTTATAAAAACAAATCTATAAAAAATGTATCTCAAAAAGGTCCAATCTAAATCTTCAACTTGCATGACAAAATATGCCAGATTTTACTGTTGGGCCTCCCAAGCTTACTTGCATAGACGATGGGGATTTTCCTGTATATACTTTTAATAATGAAATTTCATCTTAGAACTTCTGTTCCTCTAAACTCATTTAATTATAAGCTTTATTTAAAAAAATTATTCAAAATAAATAAAGCTTTTTGGGTGTAATAGTTGCTATGGTAATTGATGTAACTCCATTCCACCTACCTTAACCAGTCGTGATATTAGAAACCCTCCTTCATACCGCTTTTGGAGTTCATCTTTTTTCTCTTTAAAGAACTGCCAAGCGAGTTCACGTCCAGCTTTTGTCATGGCTGCAGAAATTATCACAAATACTGTATCCTGTGATCTTACTTCATCCTACACAAGAATGCAATACATTTATGACATTATTTCTTGCCAATTGAAATCCAAATTCAACAACACAAGTTTTAAACAAGTCTAGAACATTTAATAAAACATTGTAACATGATTGTAATATATTTTTATACTTCATTCATAAAAGGATTAAGTTTCCAGTAAGAAAAGGAAATTAAACACATTAAACAACATATTCAAGAGACATGACAAACAAATTCATAGAAATATTTTTTTATTTTACCTGATGTTTTGGATTACACCTTTTTTTAGAGGGTCTTTGAGCATCAGAGGTTACAAAACTGATTTCAAGCAACAGTAACCCAAAAAATAAAAAACACAATAATACAACAATATAATAAAACAATGCACATTGAAGAGTCCTAAAAGTATTGTTAACCAAGTTACTGTTGCTGATTACAATATTAAATGTAAATAATAAAATAAGTCTTACAATTAAATAATTTTACATGAGTAAGGCATTGCATCTATTAATAAAAGGGCATTTGGATTGAATCAAAAGAGATTCCTTAAATTTCCTGCCATGAAACTTATCACAATTCTCTAAAATTTTATATTTTAAGGTCTCTTGAATGTTATGCCATGTATGTTCTGCAATGGAATCTCTGTTAACAACATCAGCAGAAACATTCATGTACTGGATGGCTAAATTTGCTTATATATGTGGCTGAACACTGTGTATATGTAATTTCATATAGTGTTTTTAGATATACAGTATTTTTTTAAGCCATTGGTGTTAGCAAAGAAATTTTCGGAATCATAGGGATTGTTGTTAAGGAAAGCTGAATGCATGAGAATATCCTTCTATTTTTCATTGGGTTTATTTATAATGTTGATATTGAAACCAATCTTAACTGATCTTTGATGGAGACATGTAGTTAAAGGTTTGTTCATGAAAGGCACAACCCATAAAACTCTGTTTTTGCCTGATGTCTTTTTCTCATTGTCACTCATAAAAGTCTTTTAAGTATATTTTATAAAATATTTTAATAATGTAAATATATGGATATCCATTAGACACTAGACGTTTTGAAGATTCTTCATGCCTTGTATCTTATCATCAATGGTATGACACATTTTTCCAGTTCTCTTAAGTTGATCAATAATGACTCCCTGTCTAGTAGCTGGTGGATAGAGTAAGACACAGTGTAGAATAAAGGGTTAAATTGATGGTCTAGATTTTAGACTATGCAGTAGTGACAAGTTTGCTGTTTTCAATAATAACCACGCTACCAAGAAAGGGTAGACTTCTGGACATTATCAGTACATGAAAGTGTGAGTTTTATGTCAAAGTGTTGATTATTAAAGAATTCCAATAGAAAAGGAAGTCCGTGATTCCATACCACCTATCTATTTACATATTGGTTTCAAAATTCAGCTAAATAAGAACTGATGATTCAAAGAAATCCATAAATATAGATATTAAAACAACAGCAATATTGTTGTCCATAATGTTTGGTTTGTTTATACATGTGGTTAAATTGCATTTAATGTTACAGTTATTAAGAATAAAGGTGAGATAATGTTAAATAAGATCTATAGGAGTTTCAGCGGTAGTAATAAACAGATCCAACAAACTTCATAATCCACTGGTAGTAATAAATGGATCCAACAAGCTTCATAATTCACTGGTAGTAATAAATGGATCAATCAAGCTTCATAATGCACTGGTAGTAATAAATGGAGGATTAGATGCAACAAGCTTCATAATTCACTGGTAGTAACAAATGAAGGATTAGATCCAACAAGCTTGGTAACCAAGCTTAAAACTGTTTTTGATGAGAATGAAGGGTTACATAAAGATGAAATCAAGAGTACACAGTATATTGTTCAAACTAATCTGTAACGTATCCTTTTGTAGTCCATTGAGAAAGTCGTTGGTGCTACTGAAGTGTAAAGGTTTTTTTTTTTAAGATGGTGAATTAGCTTTTTGAGTAGTCAAGACACAAAAGCTAAAATGGAGTTAGCTTTGGAGACTAGGGAGTTTAGAGTTGTTCCAGATTTATGACCTTTAGGTAAACCATATAGTTCAAGGTTTTTTTTAATGAGATGGTTATTGGTTACTAACTACACATATCATCAGAAGTTACCTTAATTTTTTCAAGATAAGTGGATGTATTTATTAAAACAAAGCCTTTACACTTATCACTCACTTTCATAATTATATGGTAGTTCTTTTTTATTTCATTAATAGCTAGCTGCTCATTTCTTGAAAGATTGGATTTAACATGGTAACAATTACACAACAGTAAAAACAAATTATTAAAATATAATAACTACTTGTGAAATAATTCCAATATTTTGCAGTAAATATATGAGAAACAAAAATATTTTATTGTTATCTATCTTTAGAAAAGAATGTAATGTACCAGGCAAATATAATTTACACCTGCAGAAGTACTATATAGTAATTTGACAAGTTTAACATTCAGGTAAAGTAAATAAGATCAGGGAAATGACACTGAAAGCTCGTCACTTCACTAATTTTTGAGTTTGTTTGTTTGAATTTATGCTCAAAGCTACACAATGGGCTATCTGTGCTCTGCCCACCACGGGTATCAAAACCCGATTTCTAGCGTTGTAAATCTGCAGACATACCGCTGTGCCATTGGGGGCAACTGTTGAGAGTGCTGTGTACTGGCACTTCTAGAGTTAACTCACTTCACTAACTTGTTGAAAGTGCTGTGTACCAGCACTTTTAGAGTTAACTCACTTCACTAATAAGTTGAGAGTGCTGTGTACCGGCACTTCTAAAGTTAACTCACTTCACTAATTTGTTGTGAGTGCTGTGTATTGGCACTTCTAGAGTTAACTCACTTTACTAATTTATTGAGAGTGCTGCGTACCGGCACTTCTAGAGTTAACTCACTTCACTAATTTATTGAGAGTGCTGTGTACCAGCACCTCTAGAATTAAAATTTACAGAAAATTGTGCTTTTTTAATTTTCTAAAACCATCTAAAAGAAGATAGCAATATCAAAGTATTTTTTGATGCCTCATCTTATACAATTATTAAACCAAATTTAGCAACTAAAATAATTTTCTACAAAGTACATTTCGGATGACTTTAAACATTCACTATGGAAACTGAAAAATCAAGAGAAGGCATGTAACACCAGCATTACAAATACAGTTGGCTGTGGTGATTTGTGATGGTTACATTCATCATAACTACAGTGCTATTAAAAACAGTAAAAGAACTATTACCAAACAGTTATGAATTTGAAAATAAATCTTGCACTTTTACTCTATGTACCAAATAAGGACAGACTAAAATTAGAGAACAAGAACCTACAGAAATAGCAAACTCCAGGACTCTTCTGATACTTGCTTCATCCTGTACTGCTCCAAGGGCTCTTGATATTCGGTCTTTCTCTTCATGCAAATCTGCTTCTCTGTATAACTGGTGAAAACATCAAACATGTAAACAAAATTATGTTTTAAAACTAAACAAGTTATATTTGAAATAAACCAGAGAATTCAACAGATCCATTTCATAAAAAAACAAAGAAAATGATATTAAGAAATTTATTGCAACTTAAACTACTGATGATCTATCTAGCTGTATATTTTGTGTATTTATCATATTGAAAATTTCTTTTATGTTTGGGTTAAACAATTTAACACATTTTAATTCTATACCTAATAATTTCAGTTTTTGTAATGTAACAACATGAAAAGGAATAATTTAGTTCTTAATATTTATAATTGACATTTAAGTATATCAATTAACTGGAAAAGTCACAAAAAAGGAGGAAGAGAATCAAGTTATGTAAAGTTTTTGCTTAGTTTGTTTACTGTAACAAATTAATTCAACACAACATCACACACTGTAAGCAACAGTTATCGTAGATATTGTAGAGAAATATTTTTTTAAGCAAGAACTCTATGAAACAATACACTTATTTATCTACTAGTATGATCAGGGAGATATTTATTCTACAGTTACAAAATATTCATTTATAAACAACAATTTAACTTTGGTTCCTTTCCTTTAACTTTCTATGCTTAGCAATTCAATACATCAGAAATATTTAAAAAACTGCAGTTTTATATATATATACACACACACATGAAAATTAAAAACTCCAAGTAAAATCTTAAACAAAACACACAATTTGACTGAATAAGAAGTGATTTACCACATGTATAAGAATTATCACACTTTAAAACTAGCCTAAGTAGCAACGTTGTTACTGTTCTATTAGAATTATCACACTTTAAAATTAGCCTAAGTAACAATGTTGTTACTGTATTCAAGCTTTACTTAAAAAAACACAAGTTAAAATGTAAATTTGTATTTTCTAGATATTATCAGACATAACGTTAATTAAATGAAGTGTAGTTTCCCATACAAAGAATAAAACCTTTTTTGTATACGCTTAAACCTATTTACAATACCCAGCTTAAAAAGTCTCAAAAGTTTAGCCATAACCATTTCTCTCTGCTATAATCTATAAAGTTTATATTAATTATCTGGATAAGTCACAAAAAGGGGGTTGGGGTAATAAAGTCTATGTACAATTTTTCACTTAGTTTGTCTACTGTGAATGAATTCTACACAAAATCACACATTCTAGGCATCAGTTTTCATAGTACTTCATAAACAAATGTTTTTAAGCAGGCACTTTATCAAGCAATAAGTATTTTTTTTATCTACTAGTATGGCCAGAGAGATATTTAGTCTACAGTTCCTTTCCTCTACCTTTCTATGTTGTAAAGTTTAGTTATTAGGTTAAACAACGTCACATTTTTAATACTGACAGACCATCCAAGTATCTTGTAAAATAAAAAATTGTATGATAGAGTTTACACAAGGTTATTTTGACAACAATTTTTAACTCAGGAAAGTAAAATTTCTTAGATGAAATCAAATGTAGTGTTTAGTAACCAATAAAAGTCCATTTTTATGTCACTTTGGAACTATGTTATTTATTCTAGTGTAAGCTGATTATCTATATTTAAATTTTTTTATATGATATATTTTTGCATAATTCCACATATTCATTCTTCTACATTTATATGATTTAACAAATACAGCCTTCTATAATTTGAACTATAGTTATTCTAGGTATTGATTTTTACTATGTAGGTAAAAAAAAAGATCAAGTTACTAAATACTTTATTTATTTTGAACTAAAATATTACATAAAAATAACTAAGTAAACTCAAACTCTAAAAAGAAATGTTAATTTTCTTACTCAAACACTGCTATTCTTTAACTCTTTCAGCAATGAACTAAGTTTAAAAAGTTCATTTACAGTCACTGGATACAAAAATAATAAAAAAGTCAGCATATGTCATAAAACCTTAATTTTCATGGAGCTCTGCAGTAGTTAATATCGCCATCTAGGTCTGAATATGTTAACTAAATATTTCTTAAATTTTACTTTAATAGAGTTGGATATACGAAGATTGGCAATCAAATAGAATTGGAAACTAAAGACAAATATTTAACCCCTGGTGGCATGGCATCAGTAATAAAGGGTAACATGTGCAAATAATAATTTAGTCATTAAACACACTAAGAAGTGTGAAGTATTAAACAGTAATAGGTAAGGCACTACGTCTTGTTTAATTTTAAACAATAGGTTTGGTCAACCTGGATCCAACCTTAGCAGATGAACTGTTGAATATTTTGTGGTGAAAATGATAAGGAAACTAGGAAAAATCACCTAATTTAGCAAAGCTTACAATTTTAAAGAAATTTGGAATAATTAAGATTACTTAGCAATTTAATAAAAACAAAATTGAAAAAAAAATCTTCAGTTACACAAACGTTAAAAATTAAAAACTCTAAGTAAAATCAAAAACAAGAATAAGCAGTGATTTACCACATCTTAAACTATTTGAATTATCAAACTTTAAAATTAACCTAAGTAGCAACATTGTTACTATTTTACTAGAATTATTACACTTTAAAATTAACCTAAGTAGCAACATTGTTACTATTTTATTATAATTATTACACTTTAAAACTAGCACTATTTTACTAGAATTATCACACTTTAAAACTAGCCTAAATAGCAGCATTGTTACTATTCTACTAGAATTATCACACTTTAAAACTAGCCTAAGTAGCAGCATTGTTACTATTCTACTAGAATTATCACACTTTAAAACAAGCCTAAGTAGCAACGTTGTTACTATTCTACTAGAATTATCACACTTTAAAACTAGCCTAAGTAGCAGCATTGTTACTATTCTACTAGAATTATCACACTTTAAAACAAGCCTAAGTAGCAACGTTGTTACTATTCTACTAGAATTATCACACTTTAAAACTAGCC